ATCTCGGCCTCGGACTATTCGAAATTCTAATACGTAACATAAGTAATTCCTTTTCTTTATTCTACTCAGTTTATGTGCTATTGTATACTGGAAACTTTATACCGTAGCAATGTTATTACAAATTGGTTAAATTCGGTTGTTTTCATAAGATGCTGTTATACCAAAACGTTGCATGGCATGGCCAGGTGGTTAAGGTGCTCGCCGTCACACCAAACATGCTCGCCCTTTCAGACGTGGGAGCGTTATAATGTGACAGTCAATCCCACTATTCGTTGGTAAAATGTTTCTTTCTGGTTGATCGGCAAATAAACTTGAAATAGGCTTTATAGGTGTATGTATACCTGTTGGCAGAAATTCCAGAATTTAACTTTTTATTGTGATATTTTCGTTTTTAGTTTGTTATTTTTGTTTCACACTTCAGCAAGCAGTAGTAATGTGGTTAGAACACACACACATACATTCATTATTTACACTAGATAATCAGTGAAGGATTGTTTGTTTGTTTGTTTTTGAATTTCGCTCAAAGCTACACGAGGGCCATCTGCGCTAGCCGCTTTTAATTTAGCAGTGTAAGACTAGACGGAAGGCAGTTAGTCATCACCACCCACCGCCAACTCTTGGGCTACTTAACATAGTCTGTTTTATAGTAACTCACGACTGACAGAAAAAAAAAATGAGGTAAGTATGACATTCGAATTAATTCCAAAATTGCTCAATTCAACTGAGATTTAGTGATTGTACAAGTTAAGGACGATGACTGAAGTCATTTTCATCTTCCCGGAAACAATGCTGGACCTCACAAGCACGATGAGTAGTCTCAATATCATCTTGGAAGAGACTTGTGCATCAGTATTGAAATTTAACTTAATAGGATGGACTTGTCCACTAACAACGTTCGGGTACACTCTGGGTATTATTCTCTCTTCTAAAAGAACCAGAGAACTTCTCCCTTGTCACCAGGACATTTCCCATACTATTACAAACACCTTGCACTGTTGGAACAATACAAGTAGGATACACCTGTTTGTAGTTTTTATCCATACTTATTCTACTGTCAGTACTAAAAAAGGATGTAAAACGATCCATCATACAACTTTACACATTTTCAATCACCCACTTTCAAACGTTTGCACTATAAGCACCACTTAAAACATGTTTTCCTGTTTACATTTGAGATGAGCAGTGTTCGAAATGATTTTCGTTTGCTATATGGCATTTTATAATTTTCTTTGTATAGTTAAATTATCAAAAACTTCTGGTCAAAATAAGCTACCTACATAAGATTAACCCAGTAATTAATATAGTTAATTTTTACTTATAATGATTATGCAATGATTCATAAGTTGGGTACTCTCGCTGCTACGATATTCTTTTGGACATAATTTCAATAATTTCTCAATAGGTTCGACCAGTTTAGGATACTTACGTTAATAAAAATTCACATATTAAACTAACAATGCTAAACAATCGTGATAATACAAATATACAAGAAATATAAAAAGATAAAATCTATACATGTGTATATTAAATAATTTATCAATGTTGTTAATGAAACTAACATCAAGGAAAGAATACAATATGTATATTTACAAAACATGTAAAAACGTCTTATTTGCTTCATGTACCATAACCAATTCCCCTGTCATTTGGCTCACAGTCTATTGCAATGATTTCCTTTTTTTTTTCACTTACCTTGATTTTCGCGACACTCCTTCTGCCTCATGCAATATTTTTTGTAGAGTTTTTTAATTTATGTTCTTAAATATTCTTCTTTTGGTGTAGCTCTCGCGACACCCCTAGCGACCTGCCACGACACATGGTTTGAAAACCACTGGTCTGTTGTATTTAACAAACCTGTCCAGCCATCTCTTTCTCCGATCAGTTACCAGCGGTTGGCAGCCACATTTTTTAACCGCGGCATAGCGGCTCATAGAATGGCTCTTAGTTTTTGTTTTCAAGCACAAACTTTTAGCTCCGTCATCTCTTGACCGATTTGAGATCTAATTACAGTTTTGGACTCAGGAGGTCAAACCCTTTTAATTGATATATTTGACCACGCCTAAGTTTTATAGACTAATTTACTCTAATCCTGCCTAAAAGAATTTCAATTTGAGGGTAGGCTTATAGAGATCCTGATGAGTAATAAAATCGAATTAAGCTATCACCAACGTTTTTGATAAATGTTACGTATTATAATTTCAAATGGTCTGAAACTGATACATTAAACTTAGTAGTTAAATTGTACTTTGGATTTAGTAGTTAAGTAAAAGCCGATATATAACCAGTTTATGATATTTGCCAACAAGATTGATACACACAGTTTTCGTTTTTAACACAAAAACATTATAATATACACACAACAATACAATTTACAATAATGGTTATTACAAACAATGATTTATAAACAAAAGTTTGACAAAATTACAAACAATATAAAGTTTGGAGCTAGCTTCCTTGATATCTTATCGAGGGTTCACAATGAGCAAGTTGATAGAAGTACAATTCACTTAGTAGGGAGCTAGCCCTGTAGTTCTCGCTGATCACACGCCGATTACAGGTCGAGTTTCGCCGATGATGTTGGGTAATGTTTTCGTAAAAATACTAATGTCCGATGTCAATCCACTGGAGTTGAATGATTTGTAATGTTCGAAATTTATAAATATTCCTGGTCAAATTTCTGAAGTTTTCTGATTGATAAGCGTTATAACAATCACAGTTATAGCTTCCGAAGTTTATAGCACACTGACTACAGCGAACTAATAATACATACTCTCCTTGGTGCGTCGCGTTGGTTATATTTATAGCCGTGTGGAGGTTTTCTAGAAAATTCAGTTTTACGTAACAATACTGGCGCTAACACAAGTGTTTTACGTACACACATGTTGTTGATTCTTGCTCTTGAGAATCTTCTACAACTTTGGAGAAAAGGCGCGAGTTTCGCAATACATATTTAACAGTATAAGCAATGTACATTTCTAAATATAAATTTAACATAAACAAATGTTACTATTAAAATAAATATATAATAACAAATTCGTTACATAAAAAACAAACCTCTTTAATCAATGGAAGACTCTAAATTAAGAAATCAACAAATATTTTTTCCAGTTTTGTTGTCTATACATTTCTTTTTATACTTTCAGTACATAGACTAACAACAATATTAGGTTATACTTTTTGTTGCTAAGCAACGTGACATAAAAACCAGTGTTGAAACGTAGTGTTACCAAAACGCACTGGCTTCTCTGTATGTTAGAAGTTTTTTATCTAATTGATTTTTTACCACTATTTATTCTATGAATACGTCACGAATTCATTTCATGAATGATCTTAATTTTGATTGGCTCACAAAGGAATTTACCGACGTTTGACTGCTGCCACTGCACTTTTTTGCCTTTTGTTGGTCAAGCTTGATTTCGGAAAATTTATTAAACTATGGTTTAATGTCT